TCCAATTTAAACTGCTGAGCGAGTCTGTGAGAGGTTATAATGATTATAACGGTTTTCCTTTTTTTTTTTTTTTTCTTCTAGATTCCCTGCCAATATAAAGTGTATTTAAAAAAAGGATTTCATTGCCTTTTTAAATATTTAAATTTTGATTCATTCTTTGTGAAAGACGATCATGTTGTATCTAAAATGTTCCATTATGACACCGCTTTCTAGGTAAAAGAAAAACTAGAAAGCGATCCTATCCTAAATGTTTGTGAACAACAAAATAATCTTTATTAAACTGTCTAAAATCCAATTACTACCACTTGAGTTTGTTGTTGTTTTTTATTTTTTGCAAGCCTCTGCTGCCCTTCTGGAAGTACACCTGTAACCTGAGTTTTTAATCTTGATTTTTTTTTTTTCAGTATGTGTTTAAATCAGAGGATCATGGCTTTCGGACGGTTCATGAAGAGTTGGCTAAAGGGATGACCTTTGACCTGAAGAGCAATGAGCAGGCAGCAGTCAGGAATGTCCTCAAGGTTTGTCTCCACTCACTAAGCGAGATATATTTGTATTAATTTAAAAAAAAAAATCATTCCTCGCTTGTTGTTTACGCTAATATTTTGCAAATATTCCGACTTACGTTAAATATTTGGCATTTCCATGCTTTCAGTTCTCCTGGTTCTTCTTTGACCTCATTGTCAAGTCCATGGCTCATCATTTGGTCGACTCTGACAAACTAAAGGTAAATTGTCACCGCCATCAAAAAAAAAAAAAAAAAATTTGCCAATTAGTTAATCACGAGAGTTCATGTTCAGGTTCATCTGATCATTTCCTGTGTCCACAGCTTCCGAGGCCCCAGCGTTTCCCCTCGTCCTACCTGAGCCGCGTGGAGACGCTGGTGGAGACGGTATCCGAACACATTTTTTGGAAGTATAAAGATCTGGCGGAGGAAACCCGCAGCGCCAACTCAGCTGTGGCGTCTTTTGCCAAGGTGAGCACAAACCGTGGGGGAAATTGCTGCTGCTATGAATACTTTACAGCTTCATGGTTTTGAAGCAGTTAGCGTACCTCACTAGAAGTGCAATGTAAAGTTTTAACCTGTGGATGCCGATTTAAGCAGATTTCCTATTTCATTTTAACATAAGGAGCTATACGAACAAAGCTACAAGTGCTTTTCTCTATCTGTTTTGTTATAGCGGTCAATCATTATTTCTTTAAGAAAGGAGGAATTACATGGCACACGCTAGTTACTGTGAAACTGAAACTATAATGTTATTGTCTCCATCTGAATTCTCTAGAAAACTTAGCTCCTTAAGATTTTTCCAAGGCTGCCAACATTTTCTGAATCCAGCATGTTGAAACAAACATGGCTGATGATTGTTTCTAAGTAACAGCGGCCCCCCCCCCCCACCACTAAGAGTCTTGATGGCAGTACGACCTGGTTCTGCCTACTGTTAGAGAAAAATCACATTTTTGAGCTTGTGACCGGCTTGTCAGTAATCATTGCCAATGAAGCTGAAAAGGGTCTGATTCCGGTCACCAGTCGAGCTTGGTGCACCTCTGTTCCTTACATATCGAATTCCCTCAACGTGACACATGTTATCTTCAACCTTTAACTGAGTTTTTGATGCGTCTGTGTCTGTGTGTGTTTTGCAGCGCTGCTTTACACTGATGGACAGAGGCTTCACGTTTAAGCTGATAAGCAACTACATAAATATGATCACTGCTACAGACAGCAAGGTAACAGAAAAACATCTTGTAGGCACAAATATTAAAAGCTATATTAATAACTGGGAACGACTGTAAGTGAAGACGTTTTCTTATTTTTCCCCTGTGTGGTCGGCAGGTTCTCTGCGAGCTAAAGTTTGAGTTCCTCAGGGAGGTGTGCAACCATGAGCACTATATTCCTCTCAGTCTGCCTCTCCCTTCTGCTCGCATCTCTGGTAAGATTCCCTGCAGCTCCCAGCCGCTTCTCGTTTATGTGGCTGAAGCCATTCACCGAGTAGATCTCATTTTCATTAATTTTTTTTAATCTCCATTAACATTAAGTCCATCTGTCCTTCTCTTTGTGCCGTTTTTCTGTCGTTTTATGTGACCATGTCAGATCATGCATCCCCAGAGCTTCAGAGCACTCATGGTAAATATTTCCATTCAGTCATTTTTACCTTGTTCTCTGTCCTGTTTGTCTCCCCATCTCTTTTTGTTCAGTGGATATAAAGCACACAATATATATTTTCACTAGAAATAGTTGCACAGATCAGACATACGTACATTATGTACTGGAGGTGCTTGTTTCAAAAGGTTTATGTTATGCACATTCTTTATGTGGAAATTTGTCTGTTGCTTTTTTTTTCTATTCTAATGTTTAATAGCAGAACTTGCACATGATCTTATTTACATAAAATTTCTGTCTGATCATCTCTGAAAAATAAGTCAGAGTAAACACTGAAGCAGTCACTTTTCTCAGTAGTTTTTGTCATTTTCTTTTCCAAAAGTATTTATTTGGTTAATTACTTGTTAATAATGATCAGAAGCAATGCTGCTGTTACTTGGATACAGTTTTGGGCCGCTCTGCTTTCCTCTAACTAATGTGAGCAGCAGACTTTGTAATGCAAAGAAGTTCTCAAACTGACTGAGGCTAATCAAACATCGTCACAAGCTTTTTTGAAACGCTAATTTTCTAATTTCTATCTCGATTTAGTTTCAGTGCCTGAGTACAACCTGACTGGAGAGTTCTGCAGGAAGCACTTCCTCACCGGGCTGCTGCTCCGAGAGCTGGGATTGGCTCTCCAGGACGAGCAGGACCTGAGGCACCTAGCCTTGGCCACGCTGAAGACCTTGATGGCCAAGCACTCTTTGGATTCACGCTACGCCACCAAGGTAGACGCGCTTTGCTTTGAAGAAAACTCAAAAGGCATAAAAATGACTCATGAGCACACAGCAGAAATCGTTACGACTCATCCGGAGATGAACACACACACCCACACAAACACACACACACACGCAGACGTGATTCTTCATGGCAGCTGCAACCAACGGTCGGGATTTCTTAATGAATGCTGGGAAGTTTCTAGATCAGATTAAGTCTGTAATCTGCCCTCGGATAAGCAGTGCCAACCACAACAAACGGTCTGGACCCTGACCGAGTCTCCTGAGGTCTGAGTCAAAACCCGATGTGTCACAAGGAGGGTAGGATGTGGAAAATGGGAAGGTTGTCATTTGAAAGTAATTTGCAGGGTTTTTTTTTTCCATTTCCTTTAAAAAGCCTAAAATATTAAACATTTTGCTAGCCATTCAGGTCATGTTAATATGAGAAAACGGGCTGTTTTTCTAAACCTAAAATTGATTGTCTAATAATCTTCATGTGTTGATTCTTTTTCGCCGGGTGATTTTTTATTTTTTATTTTTTTCTTCCAGGAGAAGCAGGCGAGAATCGCATCCCTCTACCTGCCTCTGTATGGACTGATTTTAGACAACATGCCTCGATTCTTCCTCAGGGACCTCTTCCCCATCTACTTCACTTCAAGCGACCAAGTAAGTCAGAGAGATCAACGACGTTTCTGAGTTCCTGCACACCTAGCTTGCACCGTTTATAAAAGTTTAGTTTATAAAAGAAAGGAGAGTAGAAGCTCTTCTTTAGGACAGATATGCAGTATTGATTCCCTAGACGATTTTTTTTTTTTTTCACCGTTGTACAAGTGGGGATTTTCTCTGCATTTGCTTCAGTATGCCTATCAAATGAATGATTAATGACCAGCTTCCACTTCTTTGAAGGTTCTTGTCAAATGTCAATAACCTTCACATATATCTTCTATACATGAGCCCAAGGTTTGGAAATCCTTTAGTTTAGCACATAATTGTTTAGCTTTTTTGTTCTTTTTTTTTTCCTGGTTTATATGTCATACGCAACGTTCTTTTCAAAAACAGGTTCTAGTTCTTCGAGATCTGAACAAAACAAGACTTATTTAAAATTATTTGTGTTGATAATTAATTTTAGGTTTAGAAACACTGTGGACGACAAGCGTTTGATCTTTTTCTCTTTGCTTCTCTGCCTGCCCGCCTTGCAGGGCTCTCGAGATGACGTAAGCGTTAGCGGGGGAGTGGCGGGAGGGGTGACTCGCCACGGAAACTCTGTGGACGCCTCCTTTTCCAAAGAAGTGCTCAATTCAATTACAGGTACGCCAGTGCAGTATGCGCCTGTCTGCGTTGCGAGCCTACCTTCTGTAAAACATATACGAATCGAGACAATGACGCCGATTCCCTCCCATCCTCTTCCTGCTCCTCCTACCCTGCACCAGCTTTTTCATCCTTGGCGGTTGCTACGGGTAACCAGGCTGACTCCCGAGGTTCTCTGATCAGCGTGGACTCCAACCCTAGCAACAGTGACAGAAACAGTGAAAAGATGGATGGATGTGAGAAGGTGAGAGAGGGAACATGTGAGAGAGCCATTGTGATTTCCTTTTTGTTATGAAAAGCAGATTTTTCTTTTCTCAGATGGTGCAAAAACAAATCGTTTAAGTTATGTTTGTATTTGCATTTTTCTGTCCTCAGTCTTCCAGAATAAATGCTAAAAATACTTATTTACTTAAAGAGAAATATAGAAAAAAAATAGATGTTTTGAGCCTGATATGAAAAGAAATACTGATATTTGTTCATGTTACTGGACAGTGCACCTACAGAAGTCCGAATACTTTGTTTTGTTCAACTATTATTGTATTTTGTTTTTGTTGAGCAGATAAACATGGAAAATATCACAGGGAAGTTGTTTTTGCATTTTTAATAATTTAAAAAACAGATGTATTTTTGTGGTCCACCACTGCTTTGAACTTTGAACTGCATGCTGTAGATTATCTGGTAAAGGTAGTTTCCTTAACTTTGATCTAAGTTTTATGTAACTAACGCAAGTGATAAATAATGAATACATTAAGCTGTTTTTTATAGACTCATCACGGTGTGTGATCTAGGATTGGAAGCATTTAGTGAATAGTACTTCTTTGTTTTTATTTTTCAGTATTTTACCTCCTGGTCCCTAATAAGAACCAGACAGAAAATAGTCTGATTCCGATCTCTGGATAATTGATTGGTGCGTTTTATTTAAAAAAAATAAAATAAAAAAAATACAATTTCTGTCTTTTCTGTTACTTAAAAAGCAATCGAAGGGGAGATGAAAAGGTCCATTATCACATTCCTTACAGATTATTTTTGACTAACTTTTTCCTTCTTCTCTTGGTGTCTTTGTCTTAGTTTGCTCGTCCACAGTCTCTAATTGGTTATGGTTCTCGCTGTGACAAGCTGGACCAGGCAGAGACCAGAAGTCTCCTCATGTGCTTTCTTCACATCATGAAGACGATATCTGAAGGCAAGAAATGTGTTTTTATTATTATTATTATTATTATTATTATTATATAACTAGGGCAGGACGGCTCAGTTAATGACTATGATGAATTGTGGTGGAAATCTTGAGATTTAAAATTTGCGTTTCAACTAGACCTACTTTGACCCCTTACTTTTTCCAAATTTTAATCCATTGGCACTGGTTTGTTGTATATCCCAAGTCATGGGATAAGCACAGATCAAGCATCACATTATAACCACTGACGGGTGAAGTCGATACCACCTATTATCTCTACATCCTGACATCTGTTTGTGGGTGGAATATATTAGGTAAATAAACATTGTTTACCCCGACTTGATGGGTTTCAAGGAGGAGGAAAAGGCAAGCGTAAGGATTTGAGCAAATTTAACAAGAAACACATTGTGACTGCTTAAAGACCCAAGAGAGCATCACTAACAAAAGTGGTCCAAGGAAGGAAGAATGTTGAACTGGAAACACTCTTCCAGTTGTGGCCAACCAGGATTCTTTGAAGCATGCAGAACACACACTGCATTGGCATTCAGCTATCTATAGACATGCATAGCCACAGACCAGTCAGGGTCTGGATATGTGATTACCAAAACAGGATTAGAAATCAACGGAGAAAGGTGTCCTGGTCTGATAAATGATGTTTTCTTTCGTGCTACATGGAAGACCCGACTGCCTGTACTGTACTTTGTGTACCTGTGGAGTCTCTGGGACCAAAACGCTCCTCAGTCAAAGTGAAAGTTACTCTGACACACACGTACCACCTATGTAAGCTTTGTTGCCAGCCTGGTCCTGCCTTTTATGATTGTCACTCTCTGATAACTGTGGCCTTTTTTCAGCAGAAAAATGCTGGTTTGATGAACGTAGAAAAAAAAAACAATCAAGGTGTTAACCTCCAAATTAGCCAGATCTCTGAACGTTTTCGTTACCGGACATGGAGTCACGGTGTGTCACGGTGACGGTGCATCATCTCAAATCTGTTAAAGTTGCAATACTTCCACAACATTTGGCTGTGTTTTCATTTTTGTTTTGAAATGTAGCATTGGTAAAATAATTTGACATTTTTTCCCCAAAAAGCTTTGTGAGCGTTGACTCCTGAGCTGCATGAATAACTGAGTTATAGCATTGGTTTTACAAACAATGCTCAGCTAATCAGAAATGTTTGTGACTTGATCCTTTTTTTTTTTCCCCCACTGTTTCCAGATGTGCTGGTATCCTACTGGCACCGGGCCATACACCAGGAGATCTCAGACTTCTTTAACATCCTGGAGTAAGACCTTTTAATTTCTTTTTTGTTGTTGTTGTTGAAAGAGCAGTACCACAGGTCATATTCGGCTGATTATAAAAGTAGCCTGCAGGCAATTCGAAAGAAATCTGAGACAACCAAGGGTGGGGAAAAGGCAAATGAGAAGAAAAGGGCACATGGCCAGAAGGGAACAGATGAAAATAATGACATAGCAAGAGAAGGAAAACAGATTGTGATTTTAGTCCAAGATCCCACTCCACAGAGGAGTGCATTAAATTAACTTTCTATGCTTCCTGTTTGTGTCAGCATCTATGCTAGTTCGCATCCTGCACAATTTTCTCTGAGATACTTTCTTTTTTTCGTTTAACCTTTGAATCACAAGACATTTCCAAATAGGTGTTTTTTTTTTGTGTGTTTTTTTTTGTTCCTCAGGCTTTGTCTTCAGCACTTCAGGTTTCTGGGGAAGCGCCACATCGCCAGGTATGTCCATGTCTCTCTTTGCTTTCTTCTCAATTGATGTGTTGTTCACATGCTATCTTCACAAAGCTACTGATGTGGGGGGAAGAAAAAAAAAAAACTATTACCTGCTGCAGCTGAGAGTTTCCACGCCCTCGACCACCTGATACATAATTCATATCATCACGGTTGCACACATGCATAAATGCAGCCTCGATCAGACGTGTTGGAGCACGCGCGCGCGCAAATAAATTAATCGGGCACGGTCGGGCAGAAATACTAATATGTGCTTTGCATGCGTGTGCATGCTCGCAGATGAGCTCCGCGAGAAGAAGATGGATAAGGAGGGAATAAGATGGAAAGAAGGGAGGGGGGGAGGTGAAACTCCTGGATCGTGCTGCGAGGAAAGAATCACTGCTGGATTTTGCGCTGTAGGAGTTGGAAAGCTCAGGATGGGGGTTGAGATGTGAGTGTCTGCTCTTGTTGGAGCAGAGCCACTGGCACTGCAAGACCCTTCCATCTTTTGGTTCCTTGCAGCTAATTAAATTAACCGTCTTTTTCCTTTCAGCAGGAGGACTCAGACGTGTAAGCCCTCCAAAAAAAAAAAAAAAAAAAAAAAAAGACTGAATGAACACACTGATTTTCTGTATGCGGAGGCTTTAACTGAATATGGATAGCTGGGAGGCTGATAAAGGGTTTCAGTCGTGGCTAAGCTAGCTTCTTAACATCGGTCTGTAATACCAGGCCACGGGGGGATTCACCGCCGTACGCCTGTGCGTGTATCAGTGTCTGCCTTTCTAAGCGCCTGGCTGAGTCAGTGTGGGTACCGGTTGTAGGTCAGGAGGGGTGAAGTGCATTAGCAGTGTGTAGCCAGCCTGCAAGCCAGACAACAATATAGGCTTCAAGTCTTGGCACATTGTATTAAGTCGTCCACAGGGGGGAGCTGTGTCCAGGTTTGACATTAAAGCCTTCCATAATTCTCATCCAGCAGTTGTAAGAGATGCAGCAACAAGAATTTTGTAGCCAAACTCTAAACCTCCTATTTTTGTAAAGCTTTGACCTACAGATGGATTTTTTTTTCTTAAGTTAAGCCTCATACACACCATGTTGACACTGAAAACTACCTCCAGTATCCCCCTACCCGCCTAATGTTCATATTTTGGAAAATAATTGTTTAAGTTATGCTTTCCTAAACAGTTTAGCTAACTCCCAATCTGCATTATCACGACCCTACGCTGACCCTTGTACATAGCCACGGGTCACCTTTGTTGTCTACACTATCTGACACATTAATAAAGTATGTCACTGTTAAGCATTGTACTGTCAGCTGCATCGTATTGCATGTCTCCCCCCAGCTTTGTGCACGGTGACCATCCATGTTGCTGCACATGTATGATGTATTGCATCAATCAAGCACTTTTTCTCACTGATGGTGCATGGAATCCTCTGTTCTGTGAATCCATCTGCAACATTTCCATATCGTTTTTTTTTTTTTTTCTTACAAAGGCAGCAAGTGTTTACCTAGACAAACCTACGCTGAGGTCAGGTATCTCAGCATGATCAAATCCATACGTTTTAATTCTGACGCTGATATTTGTATTACATTAATGCAAACTCTAACCTTTTGTTCATCACTTCAGCTCTGGTAGGATTATACTAATGGCAAACTAAAACAATTGATTTTCCATCTGGCTGACCTTCCACTCTGTACGAGCTGAATTTCTTTTTTTCCCCCCAACTCCAGCTGCTCTCTCATCCTACACCAAGGTCGATTTTTGCAGCTCTTGAATGCTTTTTATGCATTTCGTTTTGCTTTGCTGGGGAAAAAAGAACACACACACACACATTGTGAGCCAGCTGCTATACCTATGTAAGGCCACAAAAGAGCTAAAACCTCCCCGATGTGCATCTCGTTTACATAAAGGTCTTCGATTGATTATACAAGCATGCAACGACGGCCATTAGCTTGCCACTCACAGTTAGGATCACTGACTGATAAATGATGGGCATAAAAAAAACATTCATTGCTTTAACTACAGTAACTAACGTCAGCTGTGATGTGGTTGGCTTGTGAACAGGAAGCTAGCAGCGGCAGTAAAGCTGGCCCAGGCAACCCAGGCCAATGGCACCCTGAAGGGCTCTAGCAACCCCTCCCAGTCCTCTCAACACTCGAGCCTCTTCCCGCAATGGTAATCATCCTCCACCTCAGCCATGATGATGATGATGATGATCATGACGACGATGAGTTAAGATGAAGATGCTGAGACTTTGGTTACTCAAAGTGCTCTTGAACTTAATGATGTCTGGTTGGCTTTAATAACAAGAAACCCTATAAAATGCAACTATGGATAAAATTTACAAGTAGATAAAATTTTTAATTTTTTTTTTTTTTTTTTGCTTTATGTATATTCACTTTTTTATATCACTGTGTTTCCATGCCACATATTGTAGCTGTGTTTTGAGCATGCCCCTCCTCATAGCTACTGACCGTCATGTGTTGTTACTATTTATTATGTCGCATAAAAGTGTCTTATTCTCTGTAGGTTAATACCTGCAGCTACAGTTGTTTAATTTCTAAACCGCGCTCTTCGCTGTCGTCCCCAGGATGGCCTCTGGAGGGGAAGGCCACCGGCACGCTCGCTCCCAGACCATGCCCATCATCAGGGGCAAGAACGCCCTGATGAACCCAAAGCTGCTGCAGATGATGGAAACGGGTAAAACGCAAGACTGAGAGGATTGTAACGCTGTTTTAGGTGGATTGGCATTACATCCCGCGCTCGATTCCGTTTGCAGACGGGAGCATCCAGGATGGCGACACGCTGAGTCCCACAGACATCGAGGCCAACTTGTCCACAGAGGTGGCTCTCACCGTGCTGGATGTACTAGAGCTCTTTGTTCACCATCATAAGGTCTGTGTCACGCTGCACAGCCAAAGCTACAGCCTGTGTATTTATCAGTTTTCTTATGTAAAGAATCAAATGGCATTCTGTAACAAAATAGAAAAAAAAAAAGTTGAATTGTGGTAACAAACGCTTAAACTATTTAGTGTAAATACATGCTGGCGTTGAATCCAGGAGGGATTGTGGTGTAAATTATGGATTCAGCAGCTTATTACTGCTTATTACTGATCTTTTACTGCCACCTGGTGGCAAGACAAAGCAGTTTTGCACTTTCTGCACTTTTGTGCTTGAAAGGTCATGTGTCGCGTGGCTTTTTTGTCTTCACATACTTCATTAGTTGTCGGTGCAAGATTAGATCAGAATAGAAAGGATAAAACCAAGGAAGAAGTCCAAGTTTAAGAATTGGAGGACCGGACGAAAAAGCAATACAATTATCTTGAAACATTCTTGATATTAATTATTATTCTTCCACCTTGGAAGATGAGCTAAATAATATATGTTAATTCAGAGCTATAATTCACAGCTAAAATATTGAAAACAAGACAATAGTGGACTAATCAGAAGCAATGTCAATTATCGCTCCAGCCAGGAAACAAAAGTAATATTCAAATAAGAATCCTCATTTGAGCAGAAGTTATGACACGATGCAGTTTTTAAAGGATGATTTCATTTGTTATGGCCGATTATATCACAAACCAACCTGGTTGTGCCCTCCCTCCCCCCTCCGTAGAAAATGTTGCTATCATGCAACAACTGGCTCAGTTGTGGAATGTTCTCCCAGATTTATATGAAGAATTTCTTTATTCAGTCCCACTGAAGGGTATTTGAGCATGAACAGCTTGTTTAAGCTCATGCTTTAGCACCTCAATCGGATTAAAGACTGGGCTCTGTCTAGATCACTGCAACCCCTTTTTTTTTTTTTTTTTTTTTTTTTTTAGCTATTCAGACGTTGACTAGAGAAATAAAGCCAAAGAAATGTGGTTCAATACAGATTATTCATGATTCCGTAAAATGACGATTATGTATATTTAATTTTGAAAATTTAATTTTTTTTTTTTGCTCGTTATTAATTCGGTTTATTTTTCTTCCATCTTCCAAAGTTGCACTCTCTTTCTTTCTTTTTTATTTTCCCCCACAAATCCATCATGTGTTGCTGTTATTTCAAACATTTTGTGTCATATTGGATTTCCCCTGTCCTCCCCCCACCCCACCCATACCCGACATTAAAATTCACTTACAAAATACTATTA